TTGTCTCCCAACTGTTGTATGTTTTGCCTTTAAATTTTTTTTAAAGTACATTAAACCGTAATGTATTCAGATGTGGCTGAAACAACGACAAAACATTAGTTTTCTTTAAATATGCATGACTTTTAAGCTTTTTCCCTTTCCCAGTGACTTGCTTCTCCACTAAGCTCTTTCTTTCTCTTTTTTTTTTTTTCTCAAATATTATTGTTTCATGTCACTGTGACAAGTTTAGTCTACTGGAAATTCCTATGTTCTCTGTAATTTAGGTTTTAAGCAACATATGATTTATCTTGTTATTTTAAAAAAACTCTCTGCCTTCCCTAAGTGGGTGACTCTGGCATCCTTAATATTCTTCTATAGAAATTGTGATGAAAGAACAGATAAGCCTAAGTAAATCTAGCGTGTGGAGCTCTTTAAAATGTGAAGATTGTCAACTGGTTAAAAGTAAAACTTGGTTTTGTCCTAAATATCCTTGCTGGGCCTATTATGCATTAAAAAAGGGGCCACAGCCCATTTGCAAGGCTTCTGAATGAACTCCATTCATTCTGTACTTGGAAATGTCTCTTCAGCCACAAAAAGAAACAATAGTTATAACCTAATTTCTTTGGCGCCAATATCAGCAGAAGAAGAGCAAAGAGACCATTATGAAAACTCTAGTAAGTTCTCTTGGTGATTATATAATTCTGTATTCATTGATCATATTTCTGTATTTAAATAAGTACATTTTTAAAAACATTTTAAAGTGGATCGGTAATGCTGTAATATCACATTTCATGTATTATGCAACGTTTTTAAAATGGAGTACTCTAATTTGCTTCTTACGGTTACCAAAGTTTAAAAAATACTCTAACATGCACTCCGAGATTTTAAGAGGAAAGCGCTTGTGCTTTTCATCACTATATTTTGAAACCTGAGAGTGCAAAACCAGTTTTCTTAGGTAAACCCCTTAGTCAGTTTCCACATTTACTTGTAAAAGTCAGTGGAGGGCATACATCTGGAAGTAGTAATGGTGGTACACAACGTGTGTTAATATCATTTCCAAGGGGTATCTAGAGTGAACTTTCTTAAGCACAGATCGGATCTGAGCATGCCGCTCCTTTCTTAAAACCTTTTGTTGATTTTCCATTTCCCTAGAAGGAAAGCCCACTGGAGCATGGGCCTTGCGAAGTGCTTTTTCTGGCTTCTGCCTACCTGCCTTTGCAGCTTCACCCCTACCATCTTCCCTGAATGAACTTTTGTCAGTGGCCTCGCTCTTTCTTCCTATGGGATGTTGTTTCTGCATGTTCTTGCAGGGAATTCTCTTTCTCCCAACCCTGTTTCATTCCTTTAATCTGTACAACTCTTTCTTATCCTGAAGTCTTTACCTTAAGGTTGCCTTTTCAAGAAGACTTTTAATTGTATTAACTAATTAATTAATAAATAGTCTGATGTATTTGGAGCTGAGTTTCTATGGGGATTAGTTGCTGGAGGGTAGTTTAGAGCCAGATTGTGAAGGACTTTCTAAACTGTGCTTTCAAGGTTTTGAACAGGAAAATGCTGTAGGCTCTCTGTTTTTTAAAAGTTTGGAGGATGGCTTGTGTCTTAAAAGAATATGTAACATAACCATTTAATTTGTGAGTAGAGGACTAAGGAAACCACTGTAACCTTTTTCTCTCTGCAATAATCCTATCTTCAGCCTCTCAAGCACTGTGAACAATCACTTTCTCTGGCTGTCTTCTTGGAGCCCCTGCTAATTCATTATTGAAAAATACCTGCGGCCTGCATTTGGCCTTATGTTGTCATTTACTTGGTAAGTAATGCTAAATATAATATTAACTAAAATTAAAAGACCATTAAATTATTGGACAGTGTCTACTCTAGTGGTTTAGAGCACAGGCTCTGGAGGGATCTGATTTAAAATTTGCTTTGCCCTGCCACTTGCTAGCAGTATAGATGTGGACAGGCTATTTAGATAACTTTCTTAGCAAAATAAACTTGAACTGAAGGGTAAGAGATTGAGGCAAGGAAGGTAGACCCTAAAGCAGTTTGCCAAGTACAAAATCTCTTGGAATTTGAGTGTTATCTAAAAATCCATGTGAATCTTGTATTCTCTTCCACAATACATTTCTGTTTGTTTTAATATAAAAATACTTTTAAGTTGGAGGAGGGGGTTAAGTGGGTTGGCGATTATTGCCTCAAATTTTCTGTACAATTATTTCTCCAGGAAAACACACATTGTTTATTCATGGCTTGAAGCAGTCTTTTTTTTAAAACATACTTTTATATTACACAAGCATGTGAACAGACTAAGGATATTACCAGAAATGTAAATATAATATCTCATTAGAGCAGAAATTCTGCATTGATCTTCAGCCACAGATTTACAGTGTTTACCCCAATATTACTATATTCTAGCTAAAATGTTAAAAATCTAGCACAATAGTGTTACAAAATAAACTGATTATTTCCTTCCCTTCACCATGTATACATCTAGATTATTCCATTCTTTCTAGTTACTCTTACAGGAACCTCAAGAGGCATGCTGGTTTATCTCTTTTCCTGCCTCCCCCCAAATATTTTAGTTAAATATTTTATTCTTTATACAATCCATCCTAAACATGTAATTCTTTCTATCACTTCTTTTCTTTTCTGTTTATTTCATGCAGTCAGCAGTCCATTTTAGGCTTTTGCCATTTTTTCTTGCCTGTAGTATCACTGTGAGTTCAAGAATGAGTTTTCTATATACATTCTCTTTCCTCTTTTAGTTTGACCTATGAACTGTATTCCTTCATTGTCTCTGCATCGGCTACAAAATTAAGTATTGATTTCCAAAACAGGCCTGCCTTCCCCATATTATGCTTACCTTCTTTTCCAGCCCAATATATTCCTTTACTCTCCTGAATGGTCCATCCTTTACGGCCAAAATGAACCTTCCACTCTTCCCTGAGCATCCACCGACTCGCTTGTCTCCAGGCCTCAGCACCAATTATTCCCACTGCTTGTCACTACTATGTACATTGCCCAAAGCCTGTCGCACAGGCCTCCTTCTCCTCCATAAATCCTTCCTTGATCATCCCAGCTGAATGTGTGGGGTCTTCCTCTCCTTTCATTGTTTCATTTATGGCACAGATGTTTATCAAATGCCTGGTGTACATCAAGCGATAAACCAGCGCTGAGGATTGAGTAATAACTAGGGCAGAATTATTACCCATTCTAATGGAGGTTATAATCCAACACAAAAGTGGCGTTGATAACTAATTTCAAGTTTCATGTGTTCTCCGGGGTCTGTGCAGCGTGTTTAGAAGGCTACACCTTAGGCTGGGGGTCAAGAATGTCTTCCCTGATGTGAGGTTTACACAAAGATCTGAAGAATGAAGAGTCCAGCTAAGTGAAGTGGGAGCAGATTAAGGGAATGCAAGGACATGAAAGAGTGTCCTAGGCAGAGGGAACAACATATGCAAAGGCCCTGAGGTGGGAGTGAAGAAGGAACATTTGAAGAACTGAGAGAAGGTCACTGTGGAAAGCCAGATGCTGTGTGATATGAATAATGCAAGAGGGGAAATTGAGATATTAGCAAAAGAGGGATTGATAACCCATGGGCTTGAAGATGTATTGGAATTAAAGTAAGGGGCAAGGATAAATTAAAAGAGGGAGAAATTGGAGAAACAGAGTGCTTGGAGACCGTGATGAATTTGAAGAAAAGGATGGTGATAGAGTTGACCTAGCCAGCTAAAAGGGTAGTGCTTTTTAGTCAGTGAGCCCTCCATCCCATTTCTCATTAAATCTTGTAATGCTTTCTCACTTCCTATATTCTGTCATATTTTATAGTTGTTTGTATAATTATCTTATTTTTATACCAATTATAGTTTCCCTGGGTGCTTATTATGGGTTAACAATTATATTATTATTAATAATATGGGTAAATGTTCACAAAGAAAGAAGTCTTTGTTGCTATTCTTATTTCTTTCTTTAATCTTTGATCAGGGCTTTTTATTTATGAATTCATCTTATATATCACTTGACAGACACTGAATGCTGAATGCCACAGAGTACATGACACTTCAGCAGCATAAAGAAAGGCTCCAAAACCAAACAGCAAAGTACACGCTACAAAACAACAATTTTTGGAATTAATGAATGAGGCTAATTTTCTGGAGTCCTCTCTTTCAAAATGTAGGAAGTGTTAGTATGGCCGGGCATGGTGGCTCATGCCAGTAATCCCAGCACTTTGGAAGGCCGAGGCCGGCAGATCACCTGAGGTCAAGAGTTTGAGACCAGCCTGGCTAACCTGGGGAAACCCTGTCTCCACTAAAAATACAAAAATTAGCTGGGCATCGTGGCACGTGTCTGTAATCCCAGCAACTCAGGAGGCTGAGGCAGGAAAATCACTTGAGCCTGGGAGGCAGAGGTTGCAGTGAGCTGAGATTGCACCACTGCACTCCAACCTGGGCAACAGAGTGAGACTCAAAAAAAATGTAGGAAGTGTTAGTATGTCTAGATCTATTCACAGGTTTGGAAGGAGAATGGGAATAGAAGACAGAGCAGAAAATTAGTGGTAGGATTCAGTAGATCACATCTCCAGCTTCTTAGTACCTTTGATATTTAGTCCAGTTACTGAATTGCTCTTCAATTCTCCACTCAGAACTTCTTTTCATTCCAGTGGGATTGCTTCACACTTATGAGAATTAAGGTACTTATACAAAGCCATTTTCAGAAAGGAATCACTAATATTATTAATAAACACATATTTGTTTGTTTTTCTACATTGAGTTCATTGAATCTCATTTGTATTTTCTTCATATGTTACCTTATACAGAGATAGGCGGGATGCCCCTGTTTTTCAGCTGGCTGTTAGATAAATTCACCATACATTCACTTTCAACCTTGTGTGTAAAAATAAAATTAGTTACATGAAGTAGTCATCCACATGACACCAGAGACCTAATTTTAATAGGAAATCATATTAAAAGTGTAACTCTTAGAAAATGTTAGTGATCATCATCTTCCTCTATTTTTTCTCCTAGGTACTTCCTAAGGGTGGCTACTCCAATGTAGCTGTAGTATATGTACTGAAGGAAGATCCTCTCATACTGCCACAGCCAACAGATAAAGTTGTGAATCTTTTTTGGGAGAAGCCGTTAAGGACAGGTCTGTGAAATGGAAGGATCTCTGGATCACTACAAAGTCTGGCTCAGTGACTATGGCTTTGCAAACACTAAACATTCCTATCTCAAGTCCTGTAGATGGCTTGAAATAGCATACATAAGCATGCCTTATAAACATCTTCAGTCTTTATCAACTCTTTGGAGATTCAGCCATTCTTTTTTGTACTTTAGGGAATTAAATAATTTTATAATGTGGTATAAATCTGAGCATGGCAGATGGTAGAAGAAATTTTGTCATATATTTTTAAAGAAATAAAAATGTATTATGTTTTAAAATTCCTTTAACTGTTTTTCTTACAAAGCTCCCAACAACGTAGTTACCAAGTAAACTATCTCAGATGTGATTTTTCAGTCTTTGCTAATCTGTTTATAAAATCTTTTGCTATTTTATAATTTTATCATTTATGTCTGTCCTTAAGTGTTCATTTGTTTTTATGTTTCTATATGTCATGTTTATTTGAGCTGTTTAGTGTAAAGTAAAGCAAGAACTCCCTGCATCTTATAGCATAAAAAGCAATGTTTTTCACATTCTTACCCTAATAGAAACCCTCATTCACAGATTGATGGCTAATGCTCTACCTTTCTGCAATTCCTAGTCATAGAACTGTCCAAGTCTCACATGACCTGCCTCTTGAAGAAGGAATATACCACGAGTTACTTCTTAGCTATACAGGTTAAGAAACTCAAATGACCCACTAACTAAATCTTGTTTCTTAACAAAAACACTATGGTCTATCATCATAACATTGTCAACTTCTCACATCATCATTTTGAATCAACAACATGCCATCATGTCAAAGAGAACTTATCATGTTAGCATATTGAATATAGAATTACAGTACAGCTATTTCCAAGACCTGAATGAGTGTAGTATATAAGAAGAGCAGTGGTTTAGAAATAAGGCAATCTGACATGCTTATCTCAGTTCTGCTATGGGTATTTAAGGCTAATTATTTAAATTCTCTGGGCTTTACTTAAAAAGGGAAAAGAAGTGGAGGCATGCCCATTCCTTTTAAGAATATGACCCAGAATTTCCATGCATTATTTCTGCTCATGTACCTTTGGCCAGAGCGTAATCAGTTTGTCCCAGGTAGTAGGAAAGGAGGCTGGAATATGTGGCCTTTAGCTGAAACTTCGAAGATTCTAAAGGAATTGGACTATTGAAAGACAAGTAACAGTCTTTGCCATTGCTCTCTTATCAGGAAAGCAAATGCTCTCTCAGACCCTCCTCCCCTGCCCCACTGAGTGATTCCATCAGATGAATCACTGTCTATGGCAGCATACCATTATGAAAACTGTATGCAGCAGATTTCTGCTTAGGCCATAATTGAGCATATAGTTACCCCTAGATTTAAGGAAGCTGGGGAAGCAGGAAACAGGATTGACATGATTGGCTTTGACCAAAGTTTCACAAACTTTCTTGGTTCACAGCTCCCTTGGGTTCTTAATAATTTTTTTCATGGTACCAAAAAAAAATACATAAAAGCTTCATTTACAATTTAATTACCATTTGAACTATGATACATAAGTTGAAAGAAAAGTAATACCTTGGTCATTCTTAGATAACCTCAGTTACTACTGGGTTATATATACCTGTGGGGCACTCTACAACTTCTCAAACCTTGGACTCAGGATGGTGCCACCCTTATGTCTTGCCAGGCAGTGCTTGCTTTTAATCACAGCAACTCCTGAAAACCCAGCTTTGCAGTGACATAATATTCTAAAGAAACGTAGCATGGTCTAACATGGAAACTGTGAATCACCCCAAGCTAAAAGCTAACAGTGGGCATGCTGTCTGGCAGAGGTTGAGTCCCTATTTCCCTTGAAAATTTAAATATATTATAGCCTCCCCAGTGAGTTTACTTTAACACCTTTGAGGGCTGGGCACACAGTTTGGGAACCGTGGGTTTAGACTAATCATCATTTATTTTCTGGGCTGGACATATTGCTCCCTAGACAAGAATTAGTCTTTTAGGGGGGAAGAAAGAAGAATGGAAACTATTTAGGAAACTGACTATTTCGGCCCCCCTGTATTCCACCTAAACTGCATGATCTTTAAGAAGAGAGGCTATGTCTGTTTTTACACACTGTTTTCTGTGTGGCATAGTTCTGGGTACTTAGAAGGAACATAGAGGCTGGGTACAGTGGCTCAAGCCTGTAATCCCAGCACTTTGGGAGGCTGAGGCAGGCAGATCCCTTGAGGTCAAGAGTTCAAGACCAGCCTGGCCAACATTGCAAAATACCATTTCTACTAAAAAATACAAAAATTAGTCAGGTGTGATGGTGCACGCCTGTAGTCCCAGCTACTTGGGAGGCTGAGGCAGGAGAATTGCTTGAACCTGGGAGGCGGAGGTTACAGTGAGCTGAGATTGCACCACTGCACTTCAGCCTGGGTGACAGAGCGAGAGCGAGACTCTGTCTCAAAAAAGAGGCCGGGCGCGGTGGCTCAAGCCTGTAATCCCAGCACTATGGGAGGCCGAGACGGGCGGATCACGAGGTCAGGAGATCGAGACCATCCTGGCTAACACGGTGAAACCCCGTCTCTACTAAAAAATACAAAAAAATACCTAGCCGGGCGAGGTGGCGGGCGCCTGTAGTCCCAGCTACTCGGGAGGCTGAGGCAGGAGAATGGCGTAAACCCGGGAGGCGGAGCTTGCAGTGAGCCGAGATCGCGCCACTGCACTCCAGCCTGGGTGACAGAGCCAGACTCCGTCTCAAAAAAAAAAAAAAAAAAAAAAGAACATACACATTTATTAAATGATTACAAAATGATTATATGATCAATGAAATATGATTAATAATATTAACCAACCATAAAATGCCAGCTCATAGGAAATTTGTTGCCTATACAACAGGCTTCTGTGTACATTCAAGGACCTGGACTATGCCTTCCTAGTTTCGTACCCCCAGTGCCCAATAATTATTTGGTATATTGTAGGTGAGAGAAAAATGTTGGTCAAATGAATGGGTGAATGTCTCAGTGAGAGCTAGTTCTGTCCCAAACACCATTACAAAGGAGTTTCATTACATGCTAATAAAAATGCTTATTAGTGGATTCTTAATGTAAATCCTCATGTTGACTGCCAAGAAAGAAAAATAACCACTTTCTCTTATCACTATGGATCTAAGGCTTTTTTTTGTTACCGCAGTCACCACGAGAAAAACTGACAAAAGGAGAAAAGCAGAACTATTCTGAGATATAAGATGAAGTTTTCTTAAAATGGTTTATATTATCAGCAGCTAAACTGTTTCACTATTCAGGATTATTACATAAAGCCCAGAAAGTGACTATTTTCAAAAGAGCTACCAAACTTTATGATAGTCATTTGAGCAAAATGTATCTTTTTCCTTTTTCTTGTTCCATAGCCCGAATTGACTTTTGTCTATTTTCATGGTTTTGCCATTCTAGCTCATTCTGTTTTCTTGGGAAGCCATGCAAGCTCTTTGGTTTCCATGATTGTAAAGTGTATGGCTCTGTGACAACTCCATAGAAGAATGTGTATGTGCTAGTGCGTTAGATTTGTCTAGATCTAAAAATTATCTATGGTTAGTTGATTGCTTTCAGTAATATATTTAGAAAACTAGTTATGTGTCTGTCTCTATTGCTAAATCAAAGGTATTTTGAAGGCAGGGACTACATCCTTTTCGTTTTTGAATCTCCAGAGCATTGCATCTGAACCCCCAAGACCTGCTACAGAGTAGGTGCCCAATTCATATTTGTCGAGTTAATAAACTCTTTCTTCACAAAATTTTCCCAATAGCACAGTACAGAGTTTGTTCATAATAAATATTGAATGTATTTTTATTTTGTGAGAGCCTAAATCATTTTTAATTCTTTCAATGTTTCTGAAAGCTAAGAGACAGGATTCATTCTTCCTCTTTTCTAAATGGAAAAATATAATTATCCTTAATGATGGATATCAAATATTGAATTTGTAGTATACAAGAAATAATTTATTGACTTAAAATATTTTAGCGTTCTTTCTTTTTTTGAAGAATATTATATTTCTTTGTTAATGTATTTCTTTTTTTACCATTTTAATAAAAGCTTTTGCTGGGCATTTCTACTTGTTCAGGAGCCAGACTGATGTTGCAGTTGTATGCTCCTATATTTTATTTCAAAAATGCATTTTTATTTATTTTTTGAGTATGAAAGTAATATATGCTCAGTGTAAACAATTAAGTCATTATAAATATATTTAACAGGAATACCAGAGATAACTTCTGTTAATAATTCAATGTATTACTACAATTTTTTCTATGAATTTAATATAATAATATTGTTGGAAATTTTGATACAATTATTTAAGTGAAATTTAATCATACTGCACATACTATTTTGCAGTTTTTTTAATAGTGTATTTAAACTTTTAAGTGCAAAAGATTTTCAAGACTAGCAAATATAAATCTACCTTATTCTGTGTAATTGCTAGAGCCTACATTCAGATGTTTGCAGGACCCGATCCTCCTACTTTAAATTACTTACAAATTTAAATTTGTAATTAAATTGTTTATATAATTGTAGTTTTCATATCTGTATCCCTAAACATATTATAAATTCCATGCCTAACACATACCACATGAAACAATACATATAATGGCGATAGGTGCTATGAATGAATGAATGAGTAAATGGTGGTATTCCCCAGAACTTTCTTCACAAAGCCTGTGCTCTTTCCACAATGCCACACTTCCTCCTCTTAGTGGTTCCTTTATATACTATGGGAATTTTCATAATATCATTATTAATGGTTACATTATTTTGAGTTTTATTACATATGTTTAGGTCAATTGTGAAGGCAGAACTAAGCAATTTAGAAATTCAGAAATATAGGAATTATAATTATATACAGACACACCTTGAAGATATTGTGGATTTGGTTCCAGACAAGTGCAATAAAGTGAATATTGCCGTAAAGCCAGTCACATATATTTCTTGGTTTCTCAGCACATATGAAAGTTATGTTTACACTATACTATAGCCTATTACATGTGCAATAGCATTGTCTAAAAAAGTACGTAACTTAATAAAAAATACTTTATTGCTAAAAATTGCTAATGATCATCTGAGCCTTCAGGGAGTGAATCTTTTTGCTGATGGGGGTCTTGCCTTCATACTGATGGCTGCTGACTTATCAGAGTGTTCAAGACTGGGGTGGCTGTGGCAATTTCTTAAAATAAGACAGTGAAGTTTACCATATCAGTTGGCTTCTTTCACAAGAGATTTCTCTGTAGTATGCAGTGTTTTTTTGATACCATTTTACCCATAGTAGAACTTCTTTCAAAATTTGAGTCAATTCTCTCAAACCTTGTTACTGCTTTATGAACTAAGTTTATATAATATTCTAAATCCTTTGTCATTTCAATAGTGTTCACAGCATCTTCACCAG